GATGGAGAGAAAGGCCACCAAAACTCTGGCTATTGTTTTGGGAGTTTTTCTCTTATGTTGGACTCCTTTCTTTCTTTGTTTGACATTTCTTTTTTCTATCAATGCTAAAGTGTCACTCCATGTGTTTGAAACACTCAACTGGCTTACACTGTCAAATTCCATGCTCAATCCATTTATTTATGCTTTCTTTTACAGCTGGTTCAGGTCAGCTTTTAGAATGATCATGTCTGGAAAGATATTTCAAGGTGATTTTGCTAACTCAAAACTCCTTTGATTTCTTGTTTAGAACTTGTCAGTAATTATATGTAATAATAAAGGTTGGCACTATAAAGATTAATATTTTTTACTGAGCTATACATTACACTGTATTCTACCTGAGCTTCAGACATGAATGTTGAAATAGAGAGTACATTTAAAATAACTCCTCAGGCAGGCCTTTGAAATAGATTTAGAAAGGTAATTACATGTAGTATTTGAAAATGTTGCTGTGGGAAGACTGATAGGATTATCAGTATAGAAAATAGGAATTTGGGTTTATTGTTGGAATTACTGATGATATTTGAGAATAAGGATTTTCGGGCAAGTTTCACTTATTCAGACGTTTCAGGGATTGTATTTATATATGACCCTACCTCTGAGTGTGAGAGATCTTTCCACTTATGACAACACAAAACAAAACAAAAACATGCAAAATAAACCAAACTTTATTATAACTATGTGTGGCACTACGACATGCATGCGTTGGCCAGTATTTTAATTAATTGTTATTTAATAATTATAATTATTTTTATTTTATGACCTCTATTGCTGAAGCATGTAATCCAGGAAGTAGGGCTGTCACTTTTTCAAAAAAATCATGTTCAAATGAATTTCAAAGAATACGCAATTTGTTTGAATAAATTTGAATAAAAAATCTATCAACGCATGGTACAAATGTCTGACACCACTCAGGAAAACATAACAGATAAACTATAATAGGTGGAACATGACAGTGCTGATTGTGGAAGTAGGGTGGGACAGTCATGGGGGCAACAAATATCGTCGATATCCTCCCTACCACTGAGTATTGAAGCATGAATGAAGACCCGGTCGATTTCACCGTCACCTTGGATCATATACCGTCCGACGATGAACTGTTTCTTGCTAGGGGTTCCCTGGCAACTGTTGCTTGCTTCAGGGGGCTTCTCAGAAAGGGACACAGAAGCCAGAGCCGAGTAGCTGAGCAGCACAGTGCCTCGAAGTGCCGGCTGGCTGGCAACCCCTCAGCAGCCCGCAATGGTGAGACACAAGGTTATGGAAGGGTATGGAGTCTGCTGGGTTGGCTAAAATCCCTACGATGGACGAGACACTGGCCATGCACCTACGCCTAAGAATGCAGTTGGATGAGATTATTTAATAATAGCACATATTCTACTTCAGTTAATTTATTCCTTATACTATATATAACATTTACCAATTATCCTTTTTCTTCCTGTTCATTTTGATGAACTCGGAGCAACACAAATTACGGTACAGCAACATGTAAACATATACACATACATACACAAATTCACTCATTATTTGTAGTATTGCAAATACTACAAATAATGTGGTAGGCAACAGATTGCCACTCTATCTGTGTAATACTAAGCAAGCTGATCTTCTTTTCAAATTCCTATTTCCTTTAATAAACTCAGCAACTCTGAAAGTGTTGCACACTAAATTATTATTATATATTTTTTAGTTCTGCATTCTATAACCAGTAGCAAAATTCATTCTCTGGTATCAACACTGAAACGTATTTACCAGGCCTACTTGCACTCTACAAATTTTAATTTGCAACAAAATATAAATCATTGGCCCACATTCAACACAAAAAAAGGTTTGGTTCCAATTATTATTCACATACCACAAGTCAAAACAAAAATTAGGCAACTCTTTTTAAAATTAAAAGTATCCTATGAACAGCCCCACTCTGGGCGCAATGTCCATTTCAGGCTGGCAAGGAAGATTTCTATCTTTGAATACCTCTTTAAAGAATGATGGCATGAATTCTGTAGGACATCCCTTTTCCACATCTTTCTCAAGGCCAAATTTTCCAACCTTTCAGTTTTTTCTCTCAGTTTTTTGTTCTTTTTGGAGCGTCTTACATACTTTCTCCATTTCATTCATCCTCTCTTGCATGCTAGAAAGCGCCAGCTCCACATCGACCAGTTTGTCTTTACAGTCCTTCAGCCCCACTTTTAAGCAATCCAGTTGAGGTTGCAGTTTATGAAATGCTTCATTTATTTCTTTATTATTATTGATGTCGGGCGACACGTCGTAGGGTGTTACAGTGGTCTAACTGTATTAGTTTAATCAATTAATGGTTATCAAAATGTATAATTATCAAAAGATAATAGAAAA